GTGGGCTGTGGTCCATGGGGTCGCAAAGAGTCAGACACGACTGAGTGACTAATACACACAGGAGAAGTGAAAAGGCATCAAATCATTTCCAGGCTGTGAACTGCCCTCTTCATAATGTCCCTGTGCATGCCCCTTGAGTCTGCTTTTATCATTAGTTTTATCCTAGTCTCTGAACCCACATTTCTCATGCACTTTATGGTGTCACTAAATTTTTGCCTATCAAGGAAGTGTAAGATTTGAATAATTCTACTTGCTTGTAGCACAGGAAGATAGCCAACTATGTTTGATTGCTTCAGAAGAGTTATGAAATTTTTTATTCCATGAAATTCTTTAGGGCAGTGCACCTCAAAATTTAATGTGCACATAAATCACCTTAGGATCATGTTAAAATGCAGCTTTGGATTCCATATATCTGGGTGGGGCCTGCAATCCTGCATTCTAAGTTCCTAGGTACTGCTGCTATTGGTGGTCCTCAGATGTAATCTTGAAGCTATGGCATCATTGTATTACTAAATCTCACATTGCTCTCTACCATTACTGTTACTGAAAACTACTTTTTGCATCTTGTAGGTAAAAACATATTAGGACAAAGATGATAAAAACAAAGGAATGTAAACTTTGTGGGAGAAAAGGCATGTAAAATTTTGCTATATAGCCAAGAATATGATATCAGTGACCAAAAAGAAAGGCAGATGTGTTATGGGAAATGACTTCCAGGTTGGGTAGTCCAAGAAAGTTTCGTAGAAAAGGGTGCTTTTGAGAGGGTCAGGATTACAGTAGGGAAAAAAGGAAAGAAAAAAAAAATCAGAGTTAGAAGATAACATCAGTGCCATATTATTTTGATTACTGTAGATTTGTAACACATTTTGATAGCTTGGTGCCAAACCACCCCTCATTATTCCAGTCTCTCATAATTTTTTGTTCATTGTTTTGTTTTGGTTTTACGTGAGCCTTACATCATCATGAAGTTTCAGAAAAAAAAATTTATTGAGAATGATCGGATTTCATTAAGTTTAAGGATTATTTGAGGAGGTATTGACATTTTTCTAAGACTAAGATTTTCTGTTTCTCCATTTATTATAGTCATTCTCCTCTTCTGTAGAAGTTGACAGTCTTCTGGAAATAGTTTCCTTTTGGGTAGATTTTTGTTGTTGTTGTTAGCTCCTATATGTAATTCTTTATTTACTGTTATTAATGAATACTTTTTTGTGACTGACTTTTGCATGCCTAGTATTACCTTTGCTTTTGGAAATTATACCCTCTAGTAAGGAACTAGCTTTTCTTCAATTTTTACCTCCAAGTGTTACAGCTACTATAGTTTATTTCTCTATTACATTTCCTAATCAGTTATTGCTGATACACAGGAAAAACTCCTGGAGTTTGTATACTTAACATGTACATTTATTTCACATAAAGCTTACTAAGCTCTATTGAAATGATTCTTTGGGGTTGTTCACATAAATAACAACATTTAAGAGTGCCATAATAATTTTCTCATTTGTGCTCCATTTGTTTTTCTTATACATTTCTAAATGCATTGGTCAGAACTTCATAAAATGCTTAATCATAAAGTTAATGTGAATAACTTAGTCTTCTGTTTTGTTTTGTCTTCTGTGGCTTTATAGTCAGATCAGTGTTATTAAGTCAATATTTTAATTCATCTTCTCTATCAAGATAATATTTGTGTTCAATTTTGATTAAAAAATTATAATTCTGGATTACCATTGTTCCTTGATGACTAAACTTTTCAAGTCCTGAGTTCTTCTAGCTTCATTTCTTCTCTTGAACTTTTCAGGACAGACATATGGGTGACATTTCAATTTTAGTCCTCAGATTTCTGAGATTCTTATACACACATTCAAAAATGTTTTAGGTATAAAATTGTTGGGCCACAAATTTTTCTTATAAAAAAATCTTTACATAGTTGTTCCATTGATTATGCCATTTACAGGAATATGAGACTGAGATAAGTTTGTTTCTTTGTAGAATAATCATTTTCCCCCTACCTTGAATGGCAGAGAGATTGAATGCCAGCTTTCTGGTCTCAGATCAAAAGATGTGCAGAAAAGGACACATTAGCTAAGCTGTAATTAGGTCCTCAGGCTTTGGGCACTTCCAGGAAGCTTGGGGTGTTGATACATTGCATTATCCAGGTAGCTCCTGCTTTTCCCAAGCATGCTTGGGTGTTGGCATGTTTATAGAAATAGATAGAAAGCTTAAAGACTTCCTGGTGGTGGGTAAGATAAAGAAGGAAGAAGTGTAATCTGAGGTACACCTTGAGATATAATGTGTTTGCCAAGTCAAGGAATGGTAGATGGAAACAATTCACTCAAAGAAACAGCAGGAATGCACAGCTCAGAGATGGAAAAGCAGGCCATCTCACAAAAGTAATCCCCAAGGTACATGGAGGGAACAGCTGGAGCTGAGGCTAAGCCAGTAGGATAGGGCCAGTTGCAGCAATATCTTAAGAAAAACGGGTGTTATTCTGAAGGTAATAGTCACCTAAACAAATGAGGAATCATCCAAAGTGAAAAAGTACCATCAGTCCTGTACTTCAGATTTATTATGCTGGTGGTCTGCATGGAATTTGAGGGCAGGCCATATGGAAGCCTAGATGAGAGACAAAGATCTGGAGTTAGGCAACAGAAATGGATCAGAGACAAATGAAGCACATGTTTTGGTGTTTGAATTGACAAGATATGTAAGAAATGTGAAGGCAGAGAGAGACAGAGGAACCAAGATGACTCCTGTTTCCTAGGCGTATACAGAAGCTATCTGAAGAGACAGTTGTAAATAGGAAGTTTCCAGTTAAGAGAAAACTCTGGGCTGGTGAAATAGAACTGGGCCTGTGTAAGTGGGAGACAGCGAGGTTATTCAGAGAGAGATGATGAAAGGTGAAGCAAGAAGTGGAAGTTGAGGCCAAAGGCAACAAAGAAGTTGGATGAGTCAAGAGCTGAAAACCCACCTAGGATTTGCAAGTTAAGCAATTATTAGTGACCACTGCTTGAGGAATTCCAGTTCAGTGGGGGAGGAGAAGGCAAGTAACAAGGATTTTGAGAGAAATTAGGAAAGAGGCCTCATGTTCTTCTTCTAGAAGCCAGAGGCAAAAGGAAAAGAGAAGTGTGTAGGTAGCTGATGTAGAACTAGGTATTTTGTTTGCTCAATTTTTAAGAATGTAACTGAGGAAGCAAGTCCCCAAATTAAGTTTGGCTTATCCTGAATCTCCAAATTATTTTTTATTTTATTTCTTTGACTGAACCATAGGATCTGTCTGCATTTCCAGTAATTTACTTTTTCTTCTTTTATCTTCTAAATATTTACATTTTTCCAAAAAGTTGTTCAATTGTATTTTAACACTTTTCATCTTACTAACCCTGCTTGTTAGAGAAAAACTAGAATATCATTGAAATCAGCAACCTAGAATTGGAAGACATCTTGGATCAATTTGTCTAACCTATTCTTCAAAAGTTGTAATTTCCTTTCAGCATCCTTAACATATTTCCAGTGACAGTAGACCACTATTTCAAAGGCAAGTCAATCACTTTGGTTGGACATACCACACCTAATAGCATGTTTGTGTTAATTCAGAAGGCATGTGTTAAGCTGCAAGTAATAGATGACTCCAAATCAAAACTGTTTCGACAAAGATGAAAATATTTTATCAAATAAGAATTGCTCAAGTAGGCAAGTTTCAGAGTTTGTAAAATCAGAGTTTCAACACAATATCAAAGACCCAGGATTTTTTCCATCTTTTTACTCTGCCATTCTTAGTGTATTTGCTTAACTTTCTCATTGTCACAATATGGCTGCCAATACTTTGGGCATCACATGCCATCATTAGATGTCTAGCAGAAGAAAGTAGGACATACCCTGTTTAGTATATTTTTGTTGTTATTGAGGATACCTTTTCCATGCATCCTGGAAACTATCAGGAGAAAACTATCAGGAGACTTCCAACTCAGTATCACATAACAGCAAAGAGCATGGATAATGAGCCACACAATCTGGGTTTGTATTCTAGTTCTAATTTTATACTTCCTTAAGCCTCTCTGCTGCTGCTGCTGCTGCTGCTAAGTCGCTTCAGTCGTGTCCGACTCTGTGCGACCCCATAGACGGCAGCCCACCAGGCTCCCCCGTCCCTGGGATTCTCCAGGCAAGAACACTGGAGTGGGTTGCCATTTCCTTCTCCAATGCATGAAAGTGAAAAGTGAAAGTGAAGTTGCTCAGTCATGTCTGGCTCTTCACAACCCCGTGGACTGCAGCCTACCAGGTTCCTCCGTCCATGGGATTTTCCAGGCAAGAGTATTGGAGTGGGGTGCCATCACCTTCTCCATAAGCCTCTCTAGCTCTCAGTTTTCTGAGCTTCAAAACTTATATACTCATACAACTTACCTCATAGGATTTGTTGTTGGAATTAGCATTAATAAAGTACTTTAAAAAGTGCCTGACATAAAATAAGTGGTCAGTAAGTTTTTATTATTATGCATTCAACAATCCTATTTGAACTACATGCCCTTCCCTTAATCAGTTACTGGCAAAAGAAATGGGGTTATTCTTATTGGCTTTGAAAACTTAATATTTATCCCTGAAATGGGGGGCTAACAATGTGTATCTACATACAGATGTATGAATAAAACCTGGGCTCTATTAACTGAGAAAGGAGAAAGGATGGATGGCTCTTGGGGAGACAACCAATAGTGCTGACCATGCAAGGAGCAATTTGCCATTTGCTGTCATTCCATTCATTTGCAGACTTTGGTAATATTGGGAGAAGGAAATGTAAGCAAAGACAATATTATGGTAAATACATACTAGTGATAAATTGAAATACACACATTCTAAGTAGACTCATGCTTGAATCCTACTAAGTAAAACCTGAAAATACATTTAAAATACCTAACAATTAGTTTCAATATCATTCCAAGTAGCAGTTTAAAAGAACTTGTATTTTTATATCAATTTTCAAAGCTTTATTTACCTGCCTTTCCCATTCAATTCTCACATCAGTCAGGTGATGAATGATAGGATTGGTATGATTACCGTCTTGCAGATGATGAAACCGAGGTTCTTCAAAATCTGGTGGGAACTCTGGATACAGAGGTTAGAAGTAGCAGGATTAATACTTAAACTCAGATCACCCATTTCCTAGTAAGAAGTCTTTCTCCTCTATCACAGTGCCTTTCTTATATAATAAAGACATTCTGAAATGCTTTCTTTAGTCACCATTAGCAGTGGCTCACTTCAATCTCACAGCCAAAGATTAAACACAACATGCCAGGCTATGTGAGCACAGAGCTGACCGCGACACTCTTAGCACCATTTATCCTCAGAGACGTCAACACACACATTTAGTGTCACAATTCTGTGGTGGATTATCTGGAGTCTTGGGTTATTACGAACATTCTGTCTTCAAGTGCTCAGTATTAATTGCTAACTTCTAATTTTTTTTAAACCAAAATTGGCACTGGCCTGTTTGGCACTCTGATCCCAGAGAATATTATCTATGAGAAAGCTTTTCCAAAAAAGGACTGATCACCTAAGAAAAACAGTTTCATCCCAGAAAGGTAAAATTTGGATAAACTTTCATTTAAAGCTAGGTAAAACTGCCCATAACTTACAATTTTTCTTTAAAAAAAATTTTTTCATAATCAGTGGAATGGGGTGGTTAGTGACCTTTAAAGAACTTTAATTACCATTTTATTAGAAAGTATTTGGCATGTTTTGTAAGACTGCTGTAATCATTATTATTTACATCATGATATGCTCAATGTCTCTGCCAGAGACCCCAGCTGGGGCCCCTGCCCTCTGGACATCTGGCTAAATGATTCTGCACCCCATTTCCATGGTCTGTGACAGCCCAGTAGGCCTCCTTGTGATTTCTAAGTATTTCTAGAACGTACTTCTTTATGATTTTCTTTGCCCTTATGCTCTAAGATCCCACAATACTGAGGGTCTGCTCCAAATGAACCAGATATGAGGCCTCAATCTCTTCACTGGTTTCTAAAACAACAGAAAGAAAAATAAAACCCAAATCATTCACTCTAAACATTTCATGAGTTAAATAACCCTCGTGAGGATTTGGGGATCCACAGGGCCAGGCTACACTGAGAATCATCTCCCACGGTCATATCCTGTCTGGAATAAATGGGACGTTACTCCTCTCTCAGACCTGGTCGCTTCATCCCCAAGGCCCCACATTCTCACGTTTTATTTCCAGGCACCTGTCAGGGTACTTTCTCCTACTCTTCTTTTTCTAGGAGGAAATCAGGTGTCAATGGCTAGCATCAAATCGTGTCTTTCCATTTTTTTACATTTGTAACTCACCTTGTTCAGTGTCTGAACTTAAAGGATAAACATATGAGAAGCTTACTTGGCCCGACTTTTCTCCCCATTCTTTTCCGAGGTGATACCATAAATTACAACAGAGGCTGGCAAACGATGGCTTAAGGGCCATATCTGGCCACACTCATTTATTACCATTTCTTGGCATCCTTTTAAAATTTTTTATTTTCTACTGGAGTTTATAGTGATTTACAATGTTGTGTTGGCTTCAAGTGTATAGCAAAGTGACTTAGTTATACATGTAGGCCCTGCTTGATTATTTATTTTATATACATTAGTGTGTATATTTATGTTAATCCCAACCTTCTAATTCATCTGCCCGCTCCCCCCAACCACATTTCCCCTTTGGTAACCATATGCTTGTCTTCTAAGTTTGTGAGTCTATTTCTGTTTTGTAAATATGTTCATTTTCTAGATTCCACGTATAAGAGATAACATGATATTTGTCTATCTCCCCTACTTTATTTAGTATGATCATCTCTATGTGCATCAAAGGCTGGTTTCACACTCATTAAAATTGCTGAGTTGAACAGTTGCAATAGAGACCACCAAGCCCATTAAGCCAAAAATATTTGCCATCTGGCCCTACACAGAGGAAGTCTGCCTTGATATAGGCAACTCTGTTAGAGGTACTTTACCCACACCTAAGGCTTTACTATTGGAGAAGGAAATGGCAACCTACTACAGTATTCTTGCCTAGAGAATCCTGTGGATAGAGGAGCCTGGTGGGCTGCTGTCCATAAAGTCGCATAGAGTCGGACACGACTGAGCGACTTCACTTTCACTTTTCACTTTCACACATTGGAGAAGGAAATGGCAACCCACTCCAGTGTTCTTGCCTGGAGAATCCCAGGGACGGCAGAGCCTGGTGGGCTGCCGCCTATGGGGTCACATAGAGTCGTACACGACTGAAGTGACTTAGCAGCAGCAGCAAGGCTTTACTATTCATGGCATTTTCATATACCTTATATAGCTTGATCATCCAGCACCTCTGAAATGCCTATTCTCATTTTACAATAAGAAAACTGGTAAGTAACTAGCCCAAGATTACACAGGTAGTATGTGACAGATCTGGGATTTGTACAGGTTGATGGGTTCACACCTTCCAGAGGATGCGCTTTGGAGAGCAGCAGAACTGATCTGCTCTGAAAGAAGAGACACCTACTTGTCTTCCAGCTCTTGTGATAGTTGAAGAAGGGTCATTTTTGTTTGGCCCTATTCTGCTCACTCCTGAATTCTTGAGGTAAATCTGCCAGCTCAGTCCCCCTCCCCTAACTAGTGGGTAGGAGAATCTAAAATGGAGATGAGACAACTGCAGATTAGTTCTTTTTAACTCTGCACTCATCTGGAGTAGGAGAAGAAAGCATGGAAATGTTGGAGAGTCCAAGAGTTAGAGAAGGATGCAAAGGTAGCTCAGAGCCCAGCTCCTGCTTTGGATTTGGAACTGTTGGCTTGGCCATCTCACTCTGAATTCAGTGCTCTTTCCACTATAATAATAAGCACACTGCTGGACAGTGGTGGCATAAAGTAAAGTGTCAGTCGTTCAGTCATGTCTGACTCTTTGCGACCCCTTGGGCTGTAGCCCACCAGGCTCCTCTGTCCATGGGACTTTTCCCAGGCAAGAATACTGGAGTGGGTTGCCATTTCCTTCTCCAGGGGGTCTTACCGATCCAGGGATCGAACCCAGGTCTCCTTCCTTGCAGATGGATTCTTTGCCATCTGAGCCCCCAGAGAAGACGGTGATGGCACGAATGATGTATAATGATTTCATTAGGAAACTGCAAAGAAGAGATGAAATTGTGTACTGATTTCCAGATGTGACCATCCTCAATTCCTTCCCTCTCTGTAGATGCATGATGCTCCTCCCATCAAGTGGGTGGCAGAGTCTAATTCCTTTCCCCTTGAATGTGAGTGATCCGTGGGACAGGTTTGAGGTGGCAGAGCCATGCTGGAACTTCTGACACTAGGATTTAAAAAAGGCTCAGGATATAAAAAACCCTCCGCTTGGGTCTCTTAGAAAGCTCACCACGAGACATTCCCTCTCGGAAACTAGCTGCCACGCTGTGAGAAATGAAAGCCACGTTTCTTGAAAGGCTGCACACAGGTGTTCTAGTCAAAGGCCCCAGCTCATCTCTCGCCAGCAGCCGGCCTCAGCATCCGCCCACGTGAGGGCGCCATCTTGGATGGCCAGTCCAGTGGCGTCTTTGAATGACAGTATGAGACATCTTGAGTGGGACGCGCCCAGACAACCCACAAAACTGTGGTAGTTAACATACGTTGTTTCAAGCCACCACATTGTTTTGCATAGTCACATGCAGCTATTCTGTGTGTGCTCAGTCACATCTGACTCTTTGCGACCCCATGGACTGTAGCCTGCCAGGATCCTCTGTTCATGGAATTTCCCAGGCAAGAACACTGGTGTGGGTTGCCATTTCCTTCTCCAGGGGGTCTTCCTGACTCAGGGTCAAACCTGCATCTCCTGCACTGGCAGGCAGATTCTTTACCACTGCACCATCTGGGAAGCAAAAGGCATAGGAATAAAAAGATAATTTAGTAACATACAAGAAAAATGCACATATTTTATGAAACCAGTCAAGTCAACCAAGGAGTCCATTGTCTGATTACCATAAAAAAAAAAAGAATCCCCACAATGGAAATGTGCTATATGTCTCAGGGAACTCAAACGGGTTCTGGAACAACCTAAAGGAGTGGGAAGGGGTGGGAGGTGGGAGAGAGGTTCAAGAGAGAGGGGGCATTTGTATACCTATGGTCAATTTACGTTGATCTATGGCAGAAACCAATACAGTATTGTAAAGCAGTTATCATTCAATTAAAAATAAATTTCAAAAAAAGAGTGTATAGGAGAAGAGCTTCCTGGAAATGACAGCCAGGAAGATAAAAATTAAAAAATAATCCCCCAAAGGTACTGTGACAAAACAAGGTTTCAGGTTCCTTCTGCCTCTCTTAATCCTTTTTGGAGAGAGGTGGGGATGGGAGTACAGGTGAGGCGTGAGCTGTGTGCAGGAGGGAAGAGGTCCTTTTAGAACAATGATGCCTCAAGGTCATGTTCATCATTAGCAAGAGATGGTTTCCTCTTGCAGAGGCTTCAAGCACAAGAATCTTATCCTACTCCTGGGGAAAATTAAAGAGGTACTGAACAGAAATTTCTAAACACCTCCCCAGGACGGAGCCAAGAATGAGGATCTGCAAAAGTTTGACTTAGAGAAGCAGACCCTTGTTTGGGGGAAGGACGAGGGGGAAAAGGGAGATGAGGAATGTTGGAGAGACTCCAGGTACGGGCAGGTTTCCATCTGAGCTCACTGTGGATGCCCTGAAAGGCAGTCTTACAGGAAGGGGGAAGAAATACTCTGTTCTAGCTTCTGTTCTTCACATGTACTCCCAACCGGCTAATAAAAATAAGATTGTCTATGTACCTCACAGTGAATGAACTGTGTCCACGCTTTACAATCTCATTAGTCTCTAGATTTGAATGAGCTCGTTTTTCTCACATAAAGGAAGGATGTCCATCTTGTGGAATGAGGGGTGACTGAAAATGTCTTCCTTTGAGGTTAGAAGAAAGAGTGACGTCCCAATCCTGTTTATTGAATTTTGCAAAGGGTGTGTGTACGTGCATGCAAGAACAAGGTCCAGCTCTGGAAAAATAAGTTTCAGTCTTTCCTTCTTCAACATCTCCCACCCTCACCCCAAGCTTGCTGCTTTCACTTTTTCTTTTTCCCTCCCTCTCAGTGCGGGGTGTGCCATTCACCCATCCAAAGGTACTCTGGTTCTATCCTACTCTGCATAGAAAAGCTGACTTGTAAGAACTTTTATCAATGGACTCCCTTGCACTGGTTGAGGTCAGCCACTGGGGGGCCCTGGAGACAGACAGAAGGGATACCCCTGACTGTCTCTCTGCAGAGTCACCTTGGGCCAGTGATGTCCCTATGTAAAGGTCGAGCTTGTGTCATGACAGCCCTCTCTGTGTGACAATTCTCACCTTGGGGCTCAGGAAGTGTTTCTAACTCTCCTTTCTCAGGCCCAGGACTGGTGTCACCTGGGCTCACATTATCCCAGGGTGCTGCACTAATCCCTGTGGTTTCCTCTCAACTCTCTAAAGGAACACTTTATTAAATTATCATGAAATGAGCCTAATTTGAGCATGCCATCTATTTCCTGCTGAGAACCTGACGGATACACTGTTCTACACTATTGATTATTTACATTTGAATATCAGTGTGCTCAAGGGTTTTCTCTACATGGGCGGTTTGTGACTTGAAGTCCCACCCTGGCACCACAAGGACTTTGGTCCCTAGGAATTTCAAGGGTAAACGATCAGATGGAGCTTGCGTTGGTGAAAGAAGAAAAAGCAAGAAAATTGAAACCTGTCCCTCAGGGATCACACCCAAAAGAAGTTGTCCACTTAATCTAACATTAATTTTATGTAGTTCCCTGCCCCAAACTTTCATTAAAGCATTAAGCTAGGTGAGGGTGGAGTGCTCACTCTTCCTTCTGTCATGCTTGGGATGGAAGAGAATACATGGAGATTCAAGGAATGGAGGTGGGATGGAGGTGGCCTGGGTAGCACACACACCAAGACGAGTCTTTTCTGTTTACAAAACAGAAAACAATTGTTTACAAATTGTTTTAGGATCAACCAA